GAAATAGGTAACAAATACTATTTCAATATCTTCAGCAATTTTTGGATTGCCGCTGCCATCTGCAGACCTGGGGACAACAGCATTCTTTCAGCTATTCATACATAGGTACCTATGCTTTCTCCTTAACCATGAGAATTTTAAAACAATTTTGGAATAGAAGTTTGGATGCTGAGATCGTTAGTGATTTCCAGGTAAACTGTTTATTCATGAAATCACAAACTACATAAGAAGCTGAAGTTTAAAGAGGACAAAGGGAAAACAGAAATCAAGAACAGACTCTGAAAAACATCAAGGCTGACTGGGTTCCCTTTTTTCCTCAAAAATGCCAAACTGCTGTTTTTTTAAAAAAAATTATTTTATTGAAAGCACATTTCTGTCTGGTGTTCATACAACAGTAGAAAAGAGAAGAATTGGAAGCAAAATGTTTACATTTAAATGGCTGATGCTTTATTCAAAATATTTTCAAATGAGAGACACAGAAAAAAAATTAAATGAGATCTTCATAAAAAATACATTTCATCTATCTGTTGCATGCAACCTGTACTATTTACATCTGAAAAACTAAACTGTCAGGAGCATCTACAAATTATTCAGATTTATGTAGCCAAGTATGTGGGTGAAATTTGATAAAATAGAATTGACACAGGAATTGACTGTGCAGCACATCAGTTCTGTTAAGCGGAGGCAGAGAATCTTTGTTTTCACACGACAATCCAGTTCTGTCCCCAAACTCTGCTGCACAAGAGAAGCCAGCACAGGTCACAAATGCAAATGTTTCACCACAGTGAAAACTTGTACTTGCATGAATGATGGAGACGTTGACAGAAATAGGAAACAAAACATTAATTTAGAAACATTTTTGTTTAAGCACTTCAGCATTATCTCCTGTCTCACAAAGACAGCAGACACCCAGAAAAGGCCACCTGTCCATAGAGTAAGCACTTCATGAATAAAAGGTATGGAAATAACAGTATCTAAGAGATTAAGTCATGGACCAAATCTCTATTAGGCTAGATCTGTACAAACAATAACAGGACTTAATATGAAAAACAAGCAGGCTGTCTATATGTGCAGAACATCGTTGGTGGAAATACAATGCTACTGGATTTTTGTAGGATGCTTTATAAGTTAAGGTTTTTATCCTAAGTCCTAAAGAGATACTAGGGAAGAAGAATCAAAGAAAAATTAGCATAGGCAAGCAATGGTAATTAAAAACAAAAAATGGAACAAACTCTTTACTCCACAGCTAAAACCACAAAGCAAGATCAGACTATGGGGGGAAAAACAAAATATAACAGTTAGGCCAGAAGTTAGATATAGTCTATCTAGCAGCAGAGTGATAAAGGAGATTGTCACAATGCTTTTTCAAACTATTTAATAGATAATGAGAAAAACATCACTAGAGCAGCATTCCTCTGGCATTTGTACCTTCATGCTGAGGCTGCAACCTGCAGGTGTTCTAAGTCTCTCAATTATTTGCAACTTTCAACATCTGAAGGCTAGGCAAGATTTCTCTCTAGCAATCTGCTCCTTGCCTACCTAAAACTACAGGAATCTAAACCCCAAATTTCTTTTCCACTATGTTTATTAAAAATGTATTACATATTTCTTTCTATTTTGTTATTTTATTTATATGCCATATTCCACTTTTTTCAGTAATGTTATTTTAAAATTGAGTATTTGGAAGACTTGGGTTTTTTTCCTAGAATTGATTCCTTGAATTCTTTTAGGTCCCTGTTCACGTCTGGAAGGCCAGCAAAGTCCTGTTTGCTGAAGCAACAGAGAGACATATCTCTGCAGGGGCAGAGAAAGCACAGGTACGTAGCAAGTGGGTATATGGCAGCAAACAGATGTTTGCCTGATCTTCAGCCTACTGTACTCCAGAAGGAAAGACAGCTACTTCCCAGGTTTTTTCTTTGACATAAAGAAAATTCCCAGCTGATGTTAAACCCCGTCTTTGCAACATGAAAGACATCACGAGCATGACTGGCAAAGGCTATGAACACAGCAGAGCGCACTGCTTCCCTCCTGTGCCAAAACCAGCAGAGCTGACCCCAAAGCTCTACTGCAGTTTATTTAATTCTGAGAATAAGTTTGTGAGTGACCAACTATCCAGCCATATACAATTCTTGACAGCTACTATTTTCAGCAAATACCCTATATGTTTTTTGGTCACTGAGCATTTCATTCTTCTTAGTATAAAGGCTCCAAGTGTGTCAGAGAGTGAAGAGTTGATCAAAGAGACCTGCAGCTGGGCAGTTGAGGACATATTTTAGCCTTGTCTGCTCTAGCGTCACCTTAGTACAGCACAGAGCCCATACCTGAGATTTAATTCCCTGGGAGCACGTCATGTAATCTGGTTGCGATTCAGTGCAGTTTGGGCATAGAATAAGTTAATGACTGAGGATGCAACCAAGTGCTCAGTGCCGAGACTGGGTCCATGCTCTCACCATACAGTCACAGCAGAGAGATAATCTGGGAAGCTGTTCCCAAAGGGTTTCAGGCAACTGAGCATTTCTAGTCTTTTTCAGATGCCACCACCAGCTTTCAGCCCAGATCCAGTACCACGCTAGGTCAATCTAACATGAACACAGCATCTCCACATTAGGAGAATTACTGTGAATGATGTCTTCTTCTAAAACTTATTTGCATAACTCTATAAAAATAGTCAATAGTTCAAAAAAGTGCTATCAGAAACTTTATGTACAATTGATTGCATGTCTTACCTCTGTCAAAGACATTTTACTTGGAACATAAAAAAACACTGCCCAAAGATAGACTTCAAATGAGGGGTGACTATTTTTTCCAGAACTAGAGCTGCAGGCGCTAGTTAGAAAACTGCAGCCTTCTCTGTAAAACTTGAATCTCTTCAATAGAAAATACAAGACACATTCATAAAATCCATTTTTTATTTTGATAAAATCCTTATAAATATCAAAGCACTGGATCAACTCCACTGTTTATATAAAAAACATGTAAAACTTTTGTTTCTGATATGAAGCAGTAGCCTTATTACTTTCTCTTCTCAGGCAAACAAACTTTATAACCTTCATGCAATTTGTAAACATTTTGTTCATGTTCTGCAGCTACTCACATGACAGGGAAACATATCAGATCCAACACTAAGTCTAAAAAAGGGTGTGAAAACACGCAACACACTCCTGTTCTCTCCATGCACACTTTCCAGACATCCTCATTCAGAAAGAACCAGCCTGAGGTCTTTTCAGCTGCATTCTTCTCCCTATGCCAGGAAACAAAAAGTGCCTGCAGATTTTTCCCCTTTGGTTAATACTCGTACCTGCTGCCGCTGCCAAATGTCTTTTATTTCTTCCATGGTCTATTTGTGTTCTTTCCTTCAGAAAGCATTCAGAGGGCATTGAGTGGCCTTGCAGCAATAGTAGCTATATTCTGGGAGCAGAAAACAAAAAAAATCCACCTACCTTAAACTAAGCTAAAATATCTATGTCTCTATGTCTAATTTATTCAGTTATAAGAAGGTATATAAAGTCAATCCTGTTTGTTATTTCCCTCACATTTGTCTATCTAAGAACAAAAGATCTGTTGAGGCAAGAGGCACAGTCTATAAAACCTAACAAAAAGCAAATTCATGGAGAGCAGTTGTGGAAGATGAGTTCGGTCAGAAGTACTGCAGAGATTGGTGGTAGTCACCACCCATGAAACCTCTAGCTGCCTCTTTCAGGTATCACTGGTTTTCACTTTTAGTTCTCAGAGTCTGAGGGTAAATCTAATCCTATACTAAGTTACAGCCTATGACAAGTTCATTAAAAATAATAAAAATAAATTTGGCATAAAACAAAAAATTATATTCAGATAACAAAAGCTCTTGAGAGAAACACAGGCTCAAGTCAATTCATAAAGACAGACATTTCAACACATTGCTATTGAGGGCTGATCTTTTATCAGATATTGACTTGATTCTGATTTCTTTGGCTTGCTCTAAATGCTATCTTTGGTCTTGGAATGTAAGTGCAACCACCCAAGTTCAGCTATGACAGCAGAACTTCAGCCAGTACCTAGGAGACATTACATACCAGAGTAGTGCTGTGCTCTCCTGCAAGATGTGAGATACGCAGCATGTGTCTCACACTGCAGCATGCCACGTGTCTAGTATGAAACAGTCTGGAGCAACAGCTACCCCTGCCTCCTGATTTTAAGTGGCAGGAGTCTGATGCTACATGGATATAGTGTTACAGTCCCTTATTGTTCACCAAATGCAACAGACTGAGTTTAGGCATGAACAAACAGTTCCCTCTATGCCCTTCCACCTTGCAGTTTTCAGATTTCAGGACAATTTCATCAGTATAGGTGGTGGAATTCAGGAATACCTAATCCACCTGACATGATCCTACAATATACAAAATCCTTACTCTTTGCTTTTTTTAAAAAATTCAATCAGTACATCATTACTGCTATGAAGCAGTCAGAACAACAGGATGATATAAATATCTGTTTTGCTTTAATGCTGTTAGTCATTACTGCTTTTTGTAGGAAGGTAAGCATGGTATTGTAGAAGTCAGCAATGAAATTATATCAGCCTTGAAATATTTTTTTCTTGAGAATTACAGTGTGAAGTCTTATATAGAAGCTAAATGTTATGTTAAAGAACAGAATAATAATCCCAGAAGATTCTTTACTGCCATCAATGTCAGGAATCCTATTCAGTAATTTAGTGGCAAATTCTGGACAACTCCTTCACCACATCTGACCCTTACGATTAGCACTGCCCTCTGTGCGTGCAACGCTAATGCCTCAATGCTCCCAAACCAACGCACTCAAACACAGTCAGACCTGTTAACATCGAGGAACCTGCAACAACTCAGGACGTACTTGTCTGTGAGAAATGACTGCATAGTAACCAATAATAAAACAACACCTATTTGTTATAACAACTCACAAAAAAAAAAAACCACGAAGTATATTATCTATTAAAATTAATTCAGCCTTTGGTTTCAGAGGGAGACTACTCTGGCTTTACTCCTTTAATTCCTTCTGACTTCTCGTCCCTTTAAAGGCTGGGGAGGCCGGTAGTTTCTCAGCAAGCAGCAGGCGACCTCATCCTCAGCAGTGCTCAGGAGGCTGCGGAATTTGGCTAGCTGCAATCAAAAGAGACATAAGGGTCAGCAGAAAACCCTCATGCTCATACTAATGAAAAAGCATGCAGTAAATATTAAAGATACTTGTCATCTTTTTTCCGCCAGGAAGAATGGAACTGTATTTTTCTATGGCATGTGGGAAATGGCAATTCCACCATTTCTGTCCTTGCAAATTAAAAACAATGACTACCGAGAAAATCTCCCAAAATACATGTCAGAATGAAACTGCGCATAAGGATTACTTGTTTCCTATATTCACACTTTGCCTTCCACAACCTGATCTAAACCAGAGTCTTCTATATTCTTTAGTTTGATTTTATAGTCAGAGACTCGGAATGTTTGGTGCCAAAAATTAGATTTCTTATGTGTACCTGTGTACATCATCTTGTTCAGAGTATATTCACAATTAACCTGGAATAATAGCTGTGGTGCTAAAGAAAGCTTCTGTAATTAGCACTTTTGATATATTAAACGTGTACTCAAACCAGGAAAGATTCAAAACTTTTCCCTTGTGGAAACATAGAATAGGCAGTTATTCATACCTCAGCATAAGCTTCTCTGCTTAAGCTGAGCTCAGCAGAAACCCAGATCAGAGCTTCATGTCTAATCTCAGGAAATTGGAGTCTGAATTCTGACCTGAAGTTTAGTATTTTGTCTAATTTCTAATCTTTCCAATATTTACGATTTCTATATACCATCTTACTTCCCTTCTTGGTTACCAAGTGTAGGACAGAACAAAAATAATTCCATCATAATAGAGCATTTAGTGGTACAGAATATTGCATCTTAATTGCATTAAAAGCAAAAAAAGTCAATACTATCTTACTCCACCCCATCCTAAAGCTAACATTTGTAATTCAGGCTCCCTGTGAGTTTCTAAAAACTTAAAATTTATTTTTAATTTCTTTCAACCTGAAAAGTGCCCCAAAAAGTAGTTAGTAAACTGTAAAGCCCCAAAGAAATACAAACTTGAGGAATAAAATTAAATGGCAGAACAGTATCAGTCATGGTGATGACTGATCAATCATAATAGTGGACATTACTAGAAACAAACACTTTTAATTATATGCATGCTTATATTTATAGCGATATAGCACATTTATACTTTAATACAAAAGATATAGCTACAGTCTATGAAAAATGACTAGTAAAGAATCACTGTACTTGACACTGTTTCCAACACTGTGTCTTCTGAACCTGTTACACATGGGTGTTTGCATACAGTACTTCACATTTTAGAATATATTAACTATAGATTAGCCCAAATAAGAACCTTTTAACCTGAACAATGGCTTGTCTTTGGGAAGTTCGTATCTTAGCACCAATTTTCAATCCTAGACCCATACGCACTGCAGCCAGTCTTACAAAACCAGATTGAGGGGAGTGGGGAAGACAGATGAAAAAAATGGACGCACTGAGCAAATACATGACTTCAAATCAGTTACAAACAGAATTTGAGGTCTCCTGAGTAACAAGCATCCCATTCAGTGAACTGTCTTAACATTTTGCGCAAAGACTGAAGCCACTACTTCTGCTGAGTATGTGACATAGGGTATTGAATTTTCTGAGGTATTTGTAATATTGACCATGAATGAGACAAACGCTGTGGTAAGGTTTACAGTGTGCCCAGAATATTGATAACATATTGCAGGTGATGTACATATCAATGTCCAATATTAGAAGCTATAATCTGACATACTTCAGTGTCTCCAGCACGAAAAACTCTTTATACTTCAGATGATCAGCCCGCTGGGTGTCACTGTTGCAACGTTAATATATAGTATGAAGCTTAATTTAACAAGAAACGTAAGTAGACTCTTTTATGTGGTATCACACTTTCTCCAAGATAGCCTAACATAAAAAACAACTTATTACAATTGTATTTGCTTTTCAAAATTCTAGTAAATTCACCACGGTTTACACAACTGGAATGCAAGAAGAAATTTACTATTGATCTGTCAAATAAAAATGGCAGAGAATAGGTTTGAGCAGGATGCTCAATCGAGTGGAATTCCAGGATTTGTTAGCATCATCAGAACCCTTTTTTCTGTAAGTTCCTTGTGGGTTATTTTTGCTTGTTAATTTTTCGAGTATGTAGATTCTTTTTAAAAAATGGATAATAAATAGCTGTTATGCAAAGAAAGGCAACAAGAAGTCATGATAAATTTGATAGACACATTTTGTCCTTTGAAAATTTGATAAGGTATGAAATGTCAAGGTCTGCAAAAGAATATGTTTTTGGGTGGCATTTACAATTTGAAGTCTTACAAAAGCAACATTTCTATAGCAGTGAAAAACTGAAAAATACCTGTTCAGAACAAACACTTATGGGTTCTCTCAGAACAATCCAGATAACACTTTCAAGAAGAGGTGGAACAGTGAGAGAACCAAAGTAAGTCCAGTAGTCCAGGGATTTGGGAAGCAGACAGCTAGGATCGAAGTTTGTGAATAGTGCTCTTTTACCCTGGGGGAAAAAAAAAAAACCCTCATTGTGGTTCTAATTAAATATATTTAGAAAATTATTTCTTACACAAAGTTAAAAAAGAAAAAAACAGGGCAATATTATTTAAAAGCAAGAGGCCAAGATAAATCATGCCAAAGGATGTAGAGCTTGTTCCACTATGGGGTGGGCTGGCAGCATCCTGGATGATCACAGCAGGTGAGCCAGTGCCCTTCTGATGAGGTCCTACCTCTGTGACAGCTTTGCTGCTGCTATTCTTGATGCCAGCAAGACACCATCAAAGGTGTCATGTTAGCACAGGCTCCCCATAGTTACAAATGACCACGGGATGGAGGTTGGAGGGAGAGATGAGAAGATGTTAGACTGTCAACGTGGTCTCTATGGGGCTGGTGGAGTAACCCCACAGGTTATTTCCACCTGCTCCCCTTCCTATTCACTCCTCCCAGGCCCATGGGTTACTACTTCTCCCTGTTCAGGCTACCAGGCCAGAGATTCCTGTATGAAACATGATGCTGTGAGTCTGGCTGATCGCTCTCACACATATACCACCTTATTTCTCACCCTGTACCTCAGCAAAACAGGGGAGGAAACCTTTCCCTCATCTTTTTCACAGCTTTCCATAAAGTATGTTCTTCTGTTCATATTCTCATAGCAACACATTTGTCAGAGGTTAGGTTCTGTGAGGAATTAGCTTTTTCCTCTGATCTCTTATTGTATAAAAATTATTCTCGTCTGCTTAGTTTTTAACTTTCCTAACAAGAATGCCCCTAAACTGTCCCAAATCCGAGTTAGATATGGATAGCTATGAAACTAGGGACTCGGGAACATGAAGGTGAAGGAAGTAGCAGCCAGGTTACCAAAAAACCAAAAGAACAAAAGCAACCACCAGTATTAGTATTCTTTCAGAAGCATTCGTTCACCTTGATTCTGATGGTGTCCAAGCGGTCAGTAATCTTCTTCAGCTGAGGGTTGCATTCACCAATCTATTAACACCAGAAAGAAGAAATACATACTTGAGCTCCAGAGACAAATAGCAAAAATAAATTATCAAAAAGCAAATCTATACTGAAACTATTTCATATAGCTTTACTTAAGTGACTGTGAGGTCTGATGGGTTTTGTGAGTCCAAGCCTGTGACTAGCTGGTCCTTAGAAATAGTACTGGTTATAAAGAAGATCCACTCCCTTGCTGACAGTATTTATTCTGGCTACTCATAGTAATTATTTCAGCTACAGAAGATCCACAAACTTTACACTGCAGGGGAATAAAAGCAATTTATTTTTCATGTTTTGCATGCAGGATATTAAAAGTTTCAGGCTTGCATCTGAAATTTAAATTGTTTGTAACAGTGAAAACATCATTTTTATGTATCCCAGGCAGAATTTGTGTGCTAAGAAATCCAGTGACACTTTCCTTGAATCATTATACTGTAAACTGGAAAGACAGAATTACTGAAACAGTTCTTTGCAATTGCTGCATGTAATGGCTCACTGACTGCACCAGCACCAGCACTAGCTGTGCCCAGGAAGCTGTGGCAGCCAGGCAGAAACCACAGATTTGACCAAAGCCCTATTCTTTGTCATGGATTGTGTGAATTCTCCATCTGCTTCTTCATACAAAAGTCAATGAAGCTGTTGCAAGAGTTGAATTTCATCTTAGAATTGGTGTAGGAGGCGAAGAGGTATATAACAATTACAAGGAAATTCTCCAGATTCTGGGTTTTTCTCTTTCATTTTTCAGAATAAACTATCAGCTCGGAAACAAACCGTTAAAGAAGCATTCAAAACAAACCAGATAGTCCTTGTTAGTCAAGCACAAGTTATCAGGATCCATATAGAGCCAGCTGAACTAAGATCTAGATTTTATGTTGTACAGGAGTGCAGACCAGGCAAACTGAAGAACCTCACTGTCTTGAAAATCTATTAATCTGATATTTTTAACCTTCAAGCAAGCACAGTTCTCTATACTGGAAAGCCAACAGCATGAAGGAAACAGTGTAATTTAATGCCCATATAAAACAATTATCTCTTTAGCAATAATTACACTCACTATCACCATTATCCCTTTGGGCTCATAATGCAGATTTATTAGGAGGGCTGAGACATTTTTTTCTTACCTTCAGAAATACAGCCATGACTGCCAATCCATCTGACTGACGAGCTGCCTCAACAAAACTGGAATACTTTTCTGAGTTCCAGTGGACCACATGAAGCTGAAAAGCAAGAGACACAGCCAGCATCAACTCCCGCTGAACTCAGATAGTCACAAACTAATACTACAACTTTACTGGTTTTGATACTCTACTTCGCTCTTTTGTATTCAGAGCCATTCAGTTTTCTAAATGCAATTATTTTTTGAAATTGGTAAATACATAGTTCACACAAATGGCAAAAAACATTTCCAGTGGCTGGGATTATTCAAAATTTAGCAGCAATCAGCACACTACAGTGCCTGGCAAACTGCTGTTGGGTCCCCAGATTTTGAACAGAGAAACTAAGACAAGATATCCCATGGTTATATAACCAAAGCTTTTAAATCCATTTTTAGTAGAGCTGATTTTAAAAAGTGATTGAAAATCATGAGAATGTTATTTGTTGCTCCTCTTTTTCCTTAATCAGGCTTTCAGTAACATTAATCAGCCACATAAATAGCTAGAAAACAGGCAGAGGAACACACATTAAACTTCCACTGACCCCTTTTCCCTTGTTTAATTTAAGCTGAACATCAAACTTTCATTTCTGGTACTTTCCAAATGTCATTTTCTATGATTACCAGTAGTTAGGCACTTACAAGCAGCTTGATTATCTCGGGTTTGAGCATTTGCATTTCCAACATGCATTTTTCTGGAACTGTCCTGTGGTAGTTGCTTAAGCAGCTTAAAGACACCACCTAGCCAGGTGGGGAAAGGAAAAGCCTGTGATGTCTACCCCCATACCACCTCAGTCCCTCCTGCTAAGCCAGGTTTTCTAAATCCTGGCCATGCTCCACGGCAGGAGCTCCTGGTTCCCGGGAAGCGCCAGGACATCCCAGCCTTGAGCAACGGTCCGACTGCCGAACTGTAGAGAGCACAAACACTCACACAGAGCTTAAGACTAAGCACTTTAAGTACTTCACAAACATTAATTACTCTTGCAAGTCCTCAGTGGACTTACTTACTACCTGTAGTTATTAGGTAAGGAAAGAGAGGCTCAGAAGCAGGACATGGGATTGGCTTTTCTAAAATTGGTGACCATCTTTTCAGACTTGAACTTTACTCTTTAGGAGTGCTGAAAAGCAGCTCCATTGAATGACTTAAACTGGGATGAATCCTTGAGAAAAAGGCTTGCTTTTGGAATACAGCACTTCAAGACCTCTAAAGTAAGAGCAATTTAGGAAAGCTGGAACTTGCTTTAAAGGCTTTTTATGGGAAGCAACACAGCTGCGTGGTTGAAATAGGGATCTAGGAGTGTGAAGATTTTGACTCTAAATCTCAATCCTTGCCTAACCTCTATGAGTTTTAATTTTCTGTATCTGTAAAACAGAGCCGTTACTTGGTGTTACAGGGTATAATTAATGTTTGTTAAGCACTTGGACTCTAAAGTGCTGAAACATGACTTCCAGCAAGTAAGGAGTCCCACTGAAATCAATAATAATACATGTATGCTCACGATGAAACACATGCTGGCTCACAGCTTCAGAGATCCTTGAAGGAAAGTTGCTAAAAATATTATAAATTAAACTGGGAGGAGAACACAGTCCACTAAACCACTCTCAGGTGCATTAGTATCCTGGAACTTACAATGCCTGCACCACTCACTATTTTAAGTTCACAAAAGCTACATTGAACAACTTTTAAACAATTGCATTTTTACATACACAAAAAGGAAACGGATACTCTCAGTCAGAATTGACTTTTATTGTGGATTTTTAAAAAAGCAAAAAAACAACGAAGAACAAAAAGCAAAATTCCCGCAACTAAATAAAGCCCACTCCCACTCCCTCATAGCTTTGCCAAAAAACCCCCAAACCAACCCCCCTAAAAACCAAAACCCCCAAACAAACAGAGTTGTGAAACGCTTTTGGGTACAGCCCCATTCTCAAGGGCTTGTGACTTCTCTTTAAGGAATATATCCCGTCTTACCACCGCTCTGTCACTGCAGCTTGTGAAGAGACCTTGATCAGACCATACGTTGTCACAAAGAATGGAGCCATGGATCCCTTCTGCTTCCGGTGGGCTTAGGGGGCTGAACCTTGCAGTTTTCTCTACCTGTACGCTACTTCTTTCTTCGACTCCGTTGATGCTTCTTCTTGAAATCTTACACATCTTCCTCATGAAGGTGAGCACTGAAACCATCTTCATATCTCCTTCTGAGGTATTTTCTTTTGTGTGAACAGTGCTCAGAAGCCTTGATCTTAATTCTGGGTTTCTTATCCCAAAGCCAAAGTGACATCTAGAGAGCTTCTTGTGGAGGGTTACCCAACCAACAGGTAACGGAAAGGTTTTTAGACTGGCTAGAAATTCAGAGATATTTTCTCCTTCCATTTGGTTTCTTAGATGGGAAACATATATATATTTTCTCAGCTAGAAATTTGGTTTTGGTACTTAATGGTTTTAAAGCACCTCTATTAATTCTTTATATTCCATCTCACCTGGTTCCTGTGGAAAACATAAGCCTTTAAACACTGCAAATGTCACTTTTCCCCATTAGTGTTAGAAAACTGATTTTTTTTCTGACCACTGTCTCTTATAGCATTTCCAGTAAAATCTGATCACACCACTGTGCATACATTTCATTTTTTTTCTTCTTTAGTATTATGTCTTTTATTTGTCCATTACCATTTATTTTTATACTTTTAACTTCTTTTTAACCCCAGAAAACTCTTCCACTGTCTGAACTATTTGTTGTTAAAGACCTCAGTCTCATCAAAATACTCCATGTTACTTCCATTTGCAAAGAGGAATCGGATACTGAATACTTTTTATTGTAGACTACTGAAACGCACCGAAGAGACAGAGCAGGAGCGAACTCTCCGTGCCAGAGCAGACGGTGCATTTCTCCCTGTGGCACGCTGCCTCCACTGAAACGCAGTACCTCCACAGAAGCAGGCACCCCAGATATTAAGGGGCGGTTCTCAAAGTCATAACCGTCACATTGCTAAATGCACCACAAAATGCAACACTCCTAAGCCTTGCATAAACCTTACACTGCACAGGCCCCAAATCAAACAATTCTGTGGTTTGTAACTGAAGCTGACTTTGAAAATACTCTCCAAGGAAGAGACAGTGAAAGACAAAGTTTAAAATAATCTTGAACATTAAATCTTGCTCTTATCAAGCTCTTGTCTTCTGTACTCCTTTTTTAATCCTCTCCAAAGCTTTCAAATAGGTTCTCCTTTGAGAAAGGACCAAACATGCAACACTTCAAGAAGACCGCTTGTCTTTCGATAAAATGGGGGCAGAATGAAAAGCGGGCAGAGGAGGGGCAACATTATTCTTACAACAGAAAACTAGTCACAAGCTTAGAGGTACAGATGACTCCATGTAAAGCCTTACCTCTGCCGCGTACTTCATCCCATCCACCGCGTGCTCGGAGCCGGCATCGTCGTTGGAGCCCCAATGGAAGTGAATCTGACGCAGCCTGTAGGTCCCGCTGAGCGGCCCCCCGGTCAGCACTGGAAACCCAAGCAGAGGAAAAGGCTTCACTGCAGGAACGGGAGTCGCTACCCACATCCTCTAACCTCACGCCAGTCTTTGGACAGTCCCCTACTCCTTCTCAAAAGCTGTCTCAGGTAGCTTCCCATTTCTTTGAAGTACTACAGAAACCCTCACTTGTGATTTAAAAGAATCACTGAGAAATTAAGCTTAAAATATAGGTTTTATGAATAAAGGGGAGGATCATAAAAATATAATATCAACAGAATTTCTTCTCCTCTTTTAAATTTGGAGGAAAGTAGGTGGAGCTTAAAAAAATTTTCAAGGCTCTTTCCTTCATTCGCAACTAGATCCAGTTACATCAGATTGAAGTCTGAGAAAAAGGAGCATATATTAACATAAATAAAATGAAGCCAACACTACATATGCATTGTACAGCTGCAATATTACTGACATTTAATTAGCCATTTATTTCAACTTAACACACATATGGGTGGGCTTTTCATTGTTCTGCTTTTGCAAGTGCTCATCTTTTGCTAATCAGAGTTGGAACCAAAACATCTCTTCACAGAGACTTGAATGTGAGTCACATTCAGAAAGATTCCTTATGCACTGCAAAACAAATCACCCCACTGTCCCGTTCTATATCTCCTCTGAGGATTTGGGAATTAGTCTGGGCTGGTTTACTGGCTCATTATAGAGATTTTAAGGGGAAAGGATGGGAGCTTTAACCAGATGGTTTTTAAATTAAGAGCACTGGGGAGGACAATAGTAATTTTTTCTCTCTTCTAGCATTAGTCCAAAACCTAAACTTTGTTAGGAAGAAAATACCACCAAATAAATATAAAAGAAGAATTTCTTAAGTTGCCTATCTGCTAACACAAGTAGCTTGGCTAACGAAAAGGAACTGGAACTGTTCATCTGCGGGGAAAAATATTTGGCCTCCTTAAAACTTCAACTCAAAACCATGCTTTTACAGAGCCTACAAACCTAGTGAACAAAGGGGATGGGGAAGTGGCACTCCTAAAACAAATTCATTCTTTCAAGGACTGAAAACTTGGAGGCAAATAATCCTAGAAATGTGTAAAGATCGGTGTTCTAACTGGCTGAGGGAAAGCAATTATGTAGAAATGCATCAGCATTCCATGAAATACTTCTGCTGAAAAATGTGGAAAATGGCCTGATGATGTATTTGTACCACATCATACAGTGATGGTAAAACTCTTCCATTCCAACAGCAATTAAGGAAGAGGTTAGTCAGAAGCTATTTAAGGCAAGTATCAGTATCTCAAAGTTTGAAAGGAGCTGGAAGAGGAAGTCTTTGAAACATCAGTAGACCAATTTCAGAGAATGGAGCTAATGTGGTACCAAAGAGGATAAACAGAATTACACAAACAGTTACAGACTTGACAGCCTGGTTTCAATGCTGGCCAAAGTGAAGAAATAGGTCATATGGAAGTCAGTTAATAATGTATTAAGAGATGCTAATGTATTTAGTACCAATTAATTTGATTTTTTTTTTTCCATAAAACCACCATATGGCAGGAGTGCTTACTTCACAGGGGTGCCCCAGAGGCCAAATTTTGCCCCTAGAAAATTCAGTATTTTTTGATCAATGACCTGAAAGAAAACAAAAACATTACTGATAAAGTTTGTCAGTGTCAAATATTAGGGAAAATAGTGAATAACTCATTTATGGATACAGAAGAATTTGAATTCTTTGGTAAGTAAGGCATTATAATGGCCTAAATGTAAAGCCATGTATGTGGACTGAAGAATCTAGTCCATACATAGGAGATATGGAGTCTCCTGAAGGAGAATGGGGATTACATTTGTTAATTATCTGATCAACATCTGTCAGAGCTTTGCCATGACATGAACTATATCCTTGGAGATACAGCCTGAGGAAAGCAGTAAGAAGAGGATCACATTACCACTGCTTTGGTACCATTGTAAGCCCACAGAAATACTATGTTCAGGCCCTGTCACTTCACGGATGGCATTAGAAAGTGGAAGAGGTTCTTGGTGTATTCATATTCATTTTTATTACTTTAAAAAAAAAAAGAAAAGGAGTTTAAAGGCTGAGTTGATCTAACTCACAGCAGAAATAAAGTGTGATTTTGATTTTTTTAATTGTGAGGATAATTAACAATTAGAACAACTTACCAAAGGCTGTGGTAGGTTCGTCATCGGTGGAAATTTTGAAATCAAGATTGTATGTTTTTCTAAGAGATGTGCACGCCTAGTAGGCTGGAAGCAGAGATTAATTCTGGGAAGTCCCATGGCATCTGACACACATGAGGTCAGACCAGATCACTGACGGTCAGCTGATGGCTTTCAGGCAACATCCAGTGTTGCTTGTATTGACAGGAAATTTAAGAATTAAACTAAGACAGTCTGGGAAAGCAAAGTACGATGTTGTCTCCATCTAAGTCTCTCCATGTTGCCACTATAAGCCAATAGTTCCTCAGGACTAATGGACAGGGTGATCACAAATTAGTCCCCCTCTGGCTTTGACCCTTGTGAATGCACCATATGGGCTTGGGTCCTCAGCTAAGCCTCGCGCAACCACAGGAGGATTTTATTGCTCGTAGAAACTGCACTCCTACAGTTTCAAGGGGAGGTGTGCTAGCTTGCCTACCATCCAAGAGAAGGTTTTAAAGATGAAGGCACTAACATTACAAAGACTATACTAAACCAGAGAACTTCTAAATAAGAATTATTGCTTGTAAAAAGGGAAGCTACATACTCCTAGAAAAGACTGGGACAATAACACTTTTCAGAGAAGAAAAGGGATCACTTGGGATGTATTTCATTTTTTCTGTATTGACTCTTTCCTGACACAAGAAGTATGGATTGTAAAAGGGAAATGTATATATAACCAAACCTGCAGCTAAAGTCAGATAAGAGACTTGAGCGATTCGGTTGGAATGAACCTGTAATGAGACACAAAGGATTCATCTGCAGTGAGAGAGAGCAGCATTTGAAAAATTGTACACAATACTGTTCAAACAGGGGGGCTGGCACTATCTAGCTGGTTGGGGTGGATCAAACCATCTTTGTGAAAAGGGAATCCTATCACTTTCTGAGAAATGCAACCTTGAACTCGTGTCCAAATACGTTCCCACATTGTATCATGCTGAAAGGCAGGGAAGAAAGGAATCTCTCATCCGGAGGAGCAAAGCCTTACTGTTTATGAGGAGTTCATACCCGGCAGTGAGACATGCTCAGGCTGTATGCACTCTATTCAGGAAACGGTGGAAGAAGACACAGTGCAACAGGAAAGGAACAAACCTGATTTGTTGACGGTATCATCAAATTCAACACTGGTGGAGTGCCCGTTGTTAAGGATGATTTTAGCAGAAGCCGGATCGTAACTGGGATTTAGAGGACGGAGAGAGGGATCATACTTGGTTTCCTCAGTTTTGATGTCGATGGGTGACTGACGGTCTCCATTAGCGACAGGAAAAACCTCCTTCCAGTGGGCAGGCCCTGCAATGCATTGGAGGAGAAGCCTAAATTGATGGCAGCGCCCTGCTTTGTGTGAAAGAAGACTCCTTGAACTGTTCTTGTTTGCATCCTTTAAATTCAAAAAGTGTGCATCAGAAAAACACAGATCAAAATACTCAGCTACTTTTGCTGCACCACATTGCACCAGCAGCTCTCAGGACCCCTTTACCTACCTTGCATGCTGTATCTAACTGTATTTGGCCTTTGAACAAGGCCACATGCAGTAGGTAGATATTTAATTATTCACAGTTAAGACTCAACTATGCACAAGACATATCCAACACATGCTCATTCAAATCAAGCATCCTGTATCCAACAGACACGGTGTCCCAATAAATATTCAACACGCTATTTTTCCCTAATACCATGTCTCATTATGTCTTTAAGGATTACCTCTTGTCTATCCAAAATCCCTGCTTTAAGGGTTTTTTTATACTTTAGTCATTGGCTGCAAAAGACCTGAGAACACATCTTCTACTGACTACGCTGAATGAGATGGGGAGATGTCAAAAAAGATAAAAAGGCTGAGTGGTGTGTGGGCTCTCCTGGGGTCTGATGGCAATGCCTGAAACCTAAGCATCGCTACACAACTGATCACCTCCTCCCAACCCATCAACTCTGCAAACCAGCTGTCAGGACACAGAGAGAGTGTCACCATAAAGTCAACACACACACACACGCATACATACACACACGCTAGTATAGTGCTGACAAAATCAGCAAGGAACAGGAACACTCAGGACAGTGGTGCCTGCACGAGGTTTGGATTTCTACCACCTTCTGCTGATAAATGAGAGTAGATCTTCCAAACACAGACTTGCACCACCATTCACCAGAGTTAGCTAGAAATCAAAACGCTAAAGGCGCTATTAATCAACACTAGTGATCTCGAGTTAACCTTCCTCTCTCCATGCAAGCTAAGCCAAAAATCAGCTGAAAAGCATTGTCACTGAAAATCAACAATTCAATGGATATGAGAAAAATGGCAAATGTAATTCTAAAATAGTAAGAAAAGCTTCATTGATGAGATGTGTGAGGTGTCTGTTCTTATCCACTAAACATCAGAGTCCATATCTGAATAATAAACAATGTGGAAAGAGGCCATAGAAGAAAAATAGGAACAGTAAGTGGCTTGGGGAATATGTTCTATAAGGTAAAGATAGCAAACAAGGTTTGGGATGGAAAAAAGGGTAAGGTGAGGGAAAAGGGCTAATGATCTTTCAGTATTATAAAAAGTATAGCACTTGTTTTTCCTCCAGGCTTATCATGGGTAAGAAGCATAATAAATCAACTAAGAGAGACTGGATATAAGAAAAACTTAAATATGAGCATCAGAACCTGATCTTGTAAAATCTGCATCACTGGGTATCTCATAACTCCCTATACTGAAGGTAACTGATCTCAGTCTAAAAATCAGCCTGTTGGTTTGGGTCTTCCTGGATGGCTTAGCACTTAAATAAACATGATGACAAAAAAGGATTAAAATGTATTATGCTGTGATTAATAGCCTAACATCAAAAGCTGTCAAATAGTTTTCTCTCCTCGACTTCAATAGCAGTGAACACAGCTCAGAGACTCACAGGTGCTAAAATAACCCAAGCGCTCCAGCAGTAAATCAGGGAGGGAAGCGTCCCGCGCGCCGAGGGGAAGCAGCTTGCACACCCACCTGGGCAGAGCCTGACTCTCCCCTGAGCAGCACCGAAAAATGGAAGAGGGAAGGAGTAGCTTGTAAAGAACAGGCTAAGAATTAAACCTCAGGTAGAACAAAGGCAATGGCCTTCAGTCTTGAGTTTGTTAAAAAGTCTTTTTGTTAATGACTTCATTAACTAAACTCATTACGCAAACCACTTCTAAGGCAGAAGATAAAAATCCTACTGGTTTGAAATATAAAGCTGTTTAAACTTAATTCTTCTCACTTCACAAATGGTCATCAAAGCTATTCAATATTTTAATTACATGCAGTTTAGCATATGATATAATTTTAATTGCGTTTAGATCCTAGTACTTTGCAGTTAGAGATGCAATGCACAATTTTATTAATTGAAGAAGCACCACTCCACCATTTATTCCTAACCAACTGCTGTGATTTAGGATGTTTAGAAAAAGCTTATTGCTACTTAATTTTAATACTTAGGATATTCCTAAGGTGAAGAAAGGCAAAACATATTTATGTGCTTAACTACTTGGTGCTATTGCTCCATCTCAGCAATAACTATAGTTATTGTACAGTAAATAATATGAATGATTTGCATTCATAAATAATATAAATGTGCCAAAAAAAGGACCCAAGGCTGTGATTCTGGCATTAGCTAATTATTCAACAATAAACTTCAATTCTAAAAAGACCTGCTTTTGTACTTGCCCTTAGCTTGGATGACCAAATTCATCTTTTGCTTTCGTGATTAAACATCTGTCAGTAACACAAGACTGACAGAAATCTGACCTTTCAAAATACACATGAAAATATCAAGAAACTTCAGCTCATCTTGTACCACTTGGTTATATCAAGTGGTATTCCTTACCAGATTACGTACCAGCAATCTGATACAATTATCATACTCTTGCCACTCTGTGAAAACTGTGGCTCAATTCATTACTATGGACCCCACCCCCAAAACAAATTTTGTGTATGACTGTTGGAAAATAAGTCATTACAGTTGGAAGATGTGCTCAAATGCATGTCATACAATCAGAGTCAAGCCAGTGGGATCTCCAGAAAATTTCGTCTGAATTTGGACCTGAATTATATGCCTCCATCTCAACATAACATACAGTTTAATTTTCTAGATAGGTACGTTAAGACATACCCAGGAAAGTGTAACTCACCGATTCACCTCCCTTCATTTTTTAATTTACTGAAGGAACGTGATTAAATATACCAATTTTTGAACTTATGAAATCCCCTCCTATTGATGGGAAAATGTTCTTTTGCTAGAGGAGATTACCTAGTAGCTCTTAACAATCAAAGCCGTTGTGACCAACATTTAGGACAAAAAACTGAACTATCTGCTCTGAAGATTGCGTGCCTTTATTTTGGACACAGTTACCAAATACGATGCATACCTCTGTCACTTTTAGATGAGGCTATCACTACTTATGGTACCCACCAGCATTGCACACATTCAGTTCATGAACTAGACCTCATAAGGAAGGCAGTTACGAGTTTGTCAGGAAATGCTATAGCCCCTAACAGCGGTGCTTTTTTACCCAGCTGGAGTTAAAGTGATGAGTTTCATCAAAAGGCTAGACTAACTGGAAACAAGCCTAGCGGACACATCACAGGACACGGTTCAGTTGCAGTGAGCCTCTATACTTGCAAAAACAGCGTACATACAGGTGAAAAAGTGGATTCTTTTTTTGGACAGTTTGGTATTATACGCAGAAAGTTTATTAGTTTAGTATGGTCTGACCTTTGCAGGATCACATCCTCATTTATTCCTAAAGAGAATCGATTGCCCAGTTTATCATATACAAAATGCTTAAATTTATAAAGTTAGGTTTGCAAGTAATTTAGTTGCATATTAGATTACAATAAGATTAGCTCTAATAAAAACAATTCGAAATTCAGAATGGATAAAATTAACTGTCGTTTTTTAAAGCAGACAGCAAAATTATGTCATTATTCTTAGGGAGAAAAAAATAGTATAAGGAATTCATGTCCCTTTTTATTTATAAAACGCTTCAGTGTTATAGTTGTAACTAGACCAAGAGACATTTTTGCAGTAAAACACAATACATGTAAGTACTTTCCATATATTTTACTAAACATATAGTAAACTGAAGGCAATTGATTCTCAATTTGTCTTTTAACTAAGGCAATTCCCCGGTTAACTAAGGAGACTGTTTCTGTGAAGGGGCGAGAACATTCCCCTCTTCACAGGAACCTTAAGCAACTAAGAAAAGCATGCACGATGCCACACTGAAGCCAGTTTTCAAGATGTCAATATTACACCTCCATACATAAGCACCATCAAAACTGCGAGGCAAGAACAGCGGCAAGAAAGCAAAGGCCCAGGTTTGCATAGAAATAAAATAATGCCTCTTTGCATTTCAGAAATACGTGCATCAAAGAAGGGGAGAACATTCAATTCTGTGCGTACCAGTCAGACCATGTCCTTATACATAGATATACCATATATGCAGACATATATGTGCAATATTTGACAGTTTACTTTATGCACAGCACGATTTATGTTGCGGTTATTATTGCTAAGGGGCAAATTAATTTCCTCCCGGTTTTAAAAAAACAGTGCTTTTATCATTGCAAGTAACAAATGCAGAACTCGGAGTGAATGCAGATGTCTTTCCAACTCTTTATGAACTCAACTTTAATATACGACTGCACCAAATTAAATTAATTTCACTTTGTTGCTACCTCCTTAGTTGCAAAAGCTAATCTTAGTCTCAGGGAAACTATTCAGGGCCATGCAGGGCAATAAAATTTTTCAAGAATTAGAGCAATCTCCCACATCTGCTATTCAGCAAAACAAGAAACAAGCAAAACCAATAAAATAAATGCATAAAAAGAGAAAAAGCTGAGAAATAAAACTGATGCCAGGGAAGAGCAGTGAAGTGTTGGATATCCACGCCTTTCACCATTAGTCGCCTGGGAGAGGCGGGGGGAAGGGGATGGACTGATGAGGAACTACCCACCCAGCTGCTGGGGGCTCCAAGAGAGGAGAGAGAGAGAAAGCCAGACTCCACCCCAAATACGTTATCAGCCAGTAAACAGAATTTTATAGGAGAAATGGGGCCTCAAGCAAGGTCCAGGGCCACCTCGATAGAAATTCTGGTGCCCTCCCCTTCCTAGAAGTTGAGAATAGCAAAGGAGGAGGGATAGGATAAAGGAGGGAAAGTGGACTTCTTATCTGGACGGTGCAGGTGAAGTCCACAGCACTCTTGGAAAACATATGGAGAAACAAATTTGAAAAACAAGACTCATTTACGTCTTCAGGGGAGGGGTAGAGTAGACTGCACAACCATAGATAACACGCCTAATCGTTGCAACATTGCTGCGATCCACCACCACCCAGTTTTTCAGGAAAAGTATATCCATCCAGAAAAGATTGAACAAAAGGACCAGGCAGTAAAGGTAGTACTTGCACAAACAGTATTCCAAACTCCAAGTAATAATATAAACGAAGCATGCTCCTATAGGCATTAGTATATGCAAATACATAGCTTTCTCCTTTTACTATCACGGTGTTTTGTTTCTCTGTGTATTATAACAGATAACGTAAGTTATTCCATTTACTTTATCAGAGCTGACTCTCCAATTCACAAAAGCACTTTCATTTCTACTTGCATGACTTGTGAGCCGGTCTGCACACAGGAGCAGCGTTTGCATTACTTACAATGCAAAACAGAGGAAAGTCTTTAAGCCTGCTGATGAGCACATCTTGGGACTTCAAAGACCGACAAGATTAAGGAAACCATGAAACAACTGAAATCCAAAAGCATCTCCTCTCAGTTAGACATTCAAATGACCGGTTCTAGTACCTAGTATTTCCCACCGTATAACAGAAGCAGAACATAGCCGGAGTCAAAAAGCCCCTGCCGATACAGCAGCTCTGATCAGTCCGACGGTCTAATAAATACTCGATACGTACACGCAACTGATTAACTAGACGAGCAAACGAAATCCCTTCAGGGAACGAGACAGACCACTTTTTCCAACTCAGAACCAACCCCCGACCCGATCCTGGCAGGCGATGCTGCGCGCATGAAACACCTCTCTCAGCAGCCAGCCTTGCATCACTTCGAGACAAAAATCTGCTCGGTCTCACGTTGCAAACCCTCGGCAACATTTCCGCTCATTCAGCTTTCCCGTGGGCTCGGGAGCTGCCGGGGC